CGATGTACAAGAATATGAAACCTGCATGCATGAGTTTCTTCGATTTTTCTGTTACAATTGCCTCCCTTCCCTCACCCCTCTTCCTCCTAACGGCAGTTTTGTTTTGAAACAACAATTTCGAAAAGTCGAAGGAAGTTGGAAAAACCTAGCTAGATAATAAGTACGATAGGGTACGAGGAAGGAGGTGGAGGAGGTCTTACTAGGGAAGGAAATTCGGGGGCGTATTTTCCCTAGCGGCAGTGCGGAGTTTGACCATGACATTCAAGTTTAGCATGCTTCATCAGCACCTATCAGTGCTGGTGTGAAATATGCCTTCCAAAGGTGCCATGATCCATCTGCTGCACAAACAGTCTCGAAGTTGTTCGTAGCATTCTCATTCCGTAGGTTCCTTGTAGCAGAAGTGTTCCATTATTTAACATACCGCTATGGCAGATTGTTAACGAAAACCCTTGCCTGCTCAGTCACCCCTCCCCTGAAACTGATTCAAAATCCTAATTTTTGTTTTCTTTTATAACGGCCTTCATTTATAAACTGAGACCTTATTGTAGTTTTTTGTGATACTGGGTGATTCAGCATTTTCCACACTTCTTTGTCTAATTTTGACATTCTCCAGATACATTCTTTGCGTTCTTCAGATTCCTTCGTTATACTTGGCGTTATTTGATTGCATACCGAAATATTTATCTGTTCATGGTGAAGAATTATTTGAAAATGGTAGCGGTGTAAAAGTACCGTTTAGTATAGAAGAGTTATTATTAAACGTGGGTTTTACCTATTTTTTGCTTTTTTCTTATGTATTTCTGGCTCATTCCACCCTTTACGACCCTTCCCTTCCAGGTCTCGGCTTGATTTTTTTACAGCTCTTGAGAAGGGTTAGATTGAAGGTTCTCTAACGGGAACCCCATGGGAACGGCTCGCACATCCGTCTGGCGCAAAAGCGCTTGCTGTACGCGTCGCACAAGCGATTCCCTTACATGTTTAAATCAAGGAACAGGGCACTTCATGTGGATTCCAACGAGGGGATCATTTTGTTCGCCTGAATGTAGGGAACCGTGCCTGCCTTTGTGACAGGAAGGTTTTGGTCGGGTTGACATATTTTTGTCCGTTTTTCTTGTATCAAATGCACTATATAAGTCACCCCTTTCCCGCTCGACAGTAGTTTTTTGGAGAAGGAATTTTGGATAGAATGACTCTGGAAAGGTGGTAAACTTGGAAAAACTAAGGATGATGATAGCTAGGATGGGGACAATGAGCGGGTCCATGCAGAAAGAGAATGGTCGTATATTTCAAAATTCTTTCCTAAATGCAGAACGGCCTGTCGCTAAATTTCACTGAGAACTGCTCTAGCTTGTTATTGCCTTGCCCAAGAGTCTCACGTGCTCTTGGCGCCCCAACACAGCCCCTGTTAGAGAAACCGGCTGCTCCACACTAGACCTGTGAACCCGACGGCTAGTACGGGCGCCGGCCTTTTTTGTGCCCAAGCGATGTGATGTTCATATTAAGAAAATCGAGCCATCTGATGGTGAGGGGCAAATTCCTGGTCAAACGTACCTCCTGAGGCAAACCTCGATGAGAAGCCCTGCTTCTAAGGAGTGGGGTCGTAAAGGGTGATTAGGATTGCAATTTTCAATTAATCGTGTCCCCAGAGCTTTGAAGTTCTTTTGCTCTTCTTTCAAGTTCAAATGCTTCTCGTTAGGTCATCATCCCTTATCAGTTGCCGCATTCAGTGAAGGCTCCATCATCCCAGTCTGCTGAAGCATCATCGACCAACAAGAAGAATTCTAAAGCAGTGAGTGACGTTTTTAGACTTACTTTCATGAGAGCTTTTCTGTGTGGTCCTGAACCCTGCAGTCATTAAATCCTCCAGAAAGGTTTCATTCTACATAGTTGATACAGATAGAAATCTTACCAGTCACTTCACTGGCTAAGTTTTCGGCCGCAGGCCGTTCTTCAGACACAACATCAAATCAAAGAAGTTAGAGTGAGGAAACAACTGATTGACTGAGTTCTGTAAGGGAGAAAGATCTAGGATGAGGATAGGTCCAGGAGCCTTGGGTGTTGCTGCAGGGATGGTCATCTTTCCCCACTCACGGCTATTGCTAGTTATGTGGTACCGATTTTTATCCTATTTAGGTACATTACGTCCAAACTCCTGCACGTGTTCGGTTAGAGATTGAGCACTCAATTCAGCTTATACGCCATTTTCTTCCAATAAAACTCCCTTTAGAAGTGAGTATTCTGAGTAGTGTTACAGGTTTGTAATAAATTAATTGTATTGAGAGTGACTTTCAGACAAAAGTATGGAAACAGATTCGATACATTCTCGTCCCTTCTAATAACAAAGAAAAACTTCGTCTTTTGGTACCAGAGATAGCAGCGGCGTATGCGAGGGGTACAATTAGGTAAGAGATAAGTTGTTTCATTAATGATTGCGCTTTCGGGACGCTTCTCACATTTTATGTTCCCGAAGAGTAATTGTTAATACTAATATTAATACTAATAACTACTGGGACTAGGACTCTCACCGTCCTAACAAAGAACAACTGAGCAGCTTTCCGTCAGAGGGCCATCTAGCAAGTGGGCGGTCCAACTGGGCGGGCGTTAGAACTAGAACTTTGAGCGGCTGTAGCTCTCCCCCTCACTGTGAGTCGCAAGAGTGGGACAGTGTTCTAATCTTGGGGCCTGAACTACCCTGCACAAGAAGGACGACCACTACACTAGAGCGCGGGGGCTGTCCTTAAGCGAACAAATTTTACGCTTCGCTAGGTATTCGTCATTTGTCGTGCTCTATACACTCGCGGTATGCTTCATTATTTTTACGGCGAAAATTTCATCTCTGTGTCTGGAGAAGTTTGAGCATCCCCACCAGCGCGTAGTTATGTATTGTTTTTTCTGTTTACATATGTTGACCATATGCTGAGGAAGGTGCTGCAGATACGCCTCAAAACTCCCCGACCCCCCCTCCCTAGGGACTAGTTCCACGTAAATTCTAGCTAATTTCACCTGAACGTTGGTTTAGGCAATATCTCTATTTACATCAGCTTTTGTTCCAGCTTTGGCCGCTGCGACATTGTTATGAGGAGATGTGTTATCGGAGTTCGCCGAAGAACCTGATGCAGTGCTGCATGCTCTATACCTTGGTCCGCTAGGTGCGCCGACAGTTGAGGTTTATTTCTATTTGATAAGATTTTCTTTTAGCCGGCTAGCATCCTAATCCTTTCTCTACACCATCTTTTTGGACTATCTATTTGGGGGCACATCAAATTTTTTCGGCGCTACTTTAGAATCTTGTAAATTAATTTAATTGCTAAGTTGGCGTGATCACAGTTTCTGCAACTTCTGCAAAGCAACACGTGCACAATTTCATTTCCTTCTCCAGTTGAGGTTACGGTGGATCATGAACCACGTTGCGCATGTAAAGTCCACTTTTGACTAGAATATCACAAAAAGGTGTGGATCACCCAGCCGTCATGACCAACCACAAATGTGACATAATCTTTTTTCGGAGGAATTCGCATTTGGAAAATTACCTCGTGGCTTCGTCACCGCGTCAACCACTGTCCGTACGTCTCCTCGTCTATCATACATGATCTCCTTGTTCACCAATGTTAACAACTCGCTCAAAGGCCTGGTTTCTGTTGCGCCCATAGCGATGAAGAAGAAATTTCCGAGATGTGCCAATTTCTGCCAGTCCTCAATTGTAGGCACCCACTTTCGAGTTTTTCACCTTCCTAAGAGTTTGGATACCCATCCGCAACATGGATTTGCCAACGCTAGGCTTTTCTGCATTTTGAACCATCACGCAACAAGTCGCATTTGCCAACGCCCATAGCTTTTCTGCGATTTTGAACCATGCAACGTCGAGCTGCAACGCCTAGCAATTTCTGCAATCTCTCGAATTGTTCAGGGAGGCGTCAGCCTCACACACAACGCACTGAAACTCCTCGTTCAGTATTGCTTATGTCGACCCTACGAGTTCAATTTCAAGGCTGAAATTCTCCAGAAATAAATTATGCCAACCATTGTCGCACCGTGGTCTTCTGCGCAGCCAATTAGGCCCCACACCTGTTAATATGTCGAGCCTGTCTCGACAGCGGATTGACCCAATTTGTAGTCGAAGAAAAATATCGTCCAAAATTGCTCTTTTTGACATGCTTCAAAAAGTCCTGGGAAAGGGTTACTCAAACGCAATGGATGTGGAACGCCATTATACCCATCAGATAGCGAGAAATTCTGCCTCAGCGATGTACTACTGAGAGCAAGGGCAGAGCAATAAATGTACAAAAAATAATAACACAAAACGCTGAGAACTTTCCGGACAACCTAATAATTGCGTGCGCTCTGTGCTTATCCTCCAGAGTTGGTGCGTAAACCATACGGGAAACGCAGAAAAACAAAAAATCCCATATGAAGAGGGAAGTAATCCTATTCAAGACATTGTTTGACTCGCAAAGAAATACGCGTCCATTTAGTGGGTTGTAGGGATGGAAAACGTGTGGAAGGTGCCACACACTCTTTCAACGTCCTTGAAGGCCCGTATCGCATTGTGTGATATTTACACGCCTGCTTTGGACATGTAGTATAGTTCACAAGCATAGAGGGTGTACTACTTTCGCAGCTCAAAAGTAAGTGAGAAGCGCCACCCGTTTTCGACGAAGCCATGGCCCCGCCGGCTAGCCACCGCAACGCCCAATTTTCCAGTTTCCACTATTAAAGGCGTCTTGGTGATGCGGTTAATCTCTGTTAACTCCCTTCCTACTGGATGGTGATAATGAGAAAAGCTGACACCAGCTGATGATAACTCGTCCAACCATGTCTTTTCTACAGCTTCTGCAGCACAAAAGTGGTCCAACATGGGTTTCTATTTGGGCATTTCGCGTAGATTTTTTCTGCTTTGTCATCCCACTTTTCATTAGTATTTGAGCCGCACACCTCACCATTTTTAAACGCTAGGTGTGCCTTACAGGCTACTCTCATACCTCCCTACACCGATTCTCACAGTTACGCGAAACTGGAGAATCGGAAAAAGCCCCAAAGTGATCAGATGCTTATCGAATGATTCTGCTCAGATAGAAAAACGGAGAATAGGTCAATCGATACGTAGCTACTCTTTTATCAGGCCACGTTCCACGGTTCCCCAGTTTACCGGTGTCGCAACGCAGCACGAGTTCGGCTAGCGGTTCTGGATATGCTATGATCTTGCTACATGGTTTCTAACTAGCAACTGGCAAATTTTCGCGCTGCAATTTTTTCGCTTGCAGACTTTTTACGTTGACAATTCCGTTCCAATTGTTCGTTGTGCAATTCGCATTTGCTATTAGATTTTTTACTGTTGGAACTCTTCCAATTTGCCTTACTATTCAGGAATAATGCTAGAGGCTCTTTTTGCGGAACAGTTATCTTTTGCGTTCTGCACTATTGTGTGCGCTTAGGTTGAAGCACGGTGATACTTCGCGATCCGATCACTTAGGTCATGCGATCGGATCGCGTAGTATGAGCGTGCATTCACTGGTCAGTCAAAGACCGAAGTTAATCACATGTGAATGCTGATTCACGGGCCAAAGAAGCCTTCTATCCATGTCTCCACTTCTTGTGGTAAAGACTGTGTTAATACTTGTGTCAGAGCACCGCAGCGTTTTGAGCAATCAAGAAAGTATCCAGCGTTAGATCCAGCGTTTTGAGCGCAGGCGAGCGTTTTCAGCGTTTGGAGGGCGATTTTGACCTTTTGGCGGGCAATCGCCTAAAACGCTGCCGTACGCTCGAAACGCTGACGCAAAGTATGAACGCAGCCTAACAAGTCAGAAAACGAAGTAGATCTTTCAATGCGTCAACTATTTAACATGCACGGGCGAAGGCGCTGGTCAAAGTTCGCGACTCTGCGGAATCGACGAATCCTCAAAAAGCTTCAAGCGCATATCGACGGGGAGGACCGGCGGACAAAGTGCAGCAATCCAGATGTACGAATCAGGCTGAGAATACGTATCGACGGAAAGACCAGCGAAACGGCTGGACAAAATGTCAACCTCCTCCCCCCACCCCGTTCTGCAATTCTTCACTTCATCAAGTTCATCAGGGTCGTGAAATGTGAATAAATAGCCCGAATGATCGATAGATCGATACGTCGCTGTCAAGTTTTAGTTCGTTATCACAGTGAAATCCAGTTATGGTCTAAACAAGCAATAGCATGTGTTCTAAGAGAAAGGAGAATGCGTTTGAAGCAGTATTGAACCTTGAAAGTTCATGTAGTGTCCTCGATCACCCCTGGAAAGTACGAGCCCGGGTGATTGTGAAGAGTGGAAGAAGAACTGCGCGTATGATCTACTTCGTTTGATTCGATACTCAACATGTCGCAACCTGAAATGGTTCCACTGTATGTCACCTTCCACAATCTAAATCGTTCAAAAGAGTTGTTCCACGCTTGTCGACACTTTCGTTATTTTTGGCGTCCAATTTTTCCAAATGGTAAGTGTTTTCTATTGTCTGTACTAAATAGCCCAAGGCTGCGCTCATAGTTTTCGTCGGCGTTCAATAAAAAGTGACATCTGCACTGAAAAATCTGATTTTCGGACAACGGGACGTATCGAATGAAAGAGAAGTTCAGTTCATACGAAACGGGCTGCGCGACCTTAACAAGCCCCATCAGTGCTGGCAAGCCGCAAAGACTCGCACTTTGTAGATGGCGTGTGAGCGCATTTGTAGAAATGGTGAAAGGTAGGATTTTATTCACCAACAAGCGCGTTTGTGAGAACGCGTTCATGACAAGTTGCGGAGCAGTTGCGACATCAGAACTGGTAAAGTTGAATTAGTCTGGATGAGTCCTTAACACCCGGAAGAGGCATAGTTGCCGAGTCATGGGCGGCACTGAAAAGGAGAACTCCACATCGCTTGTAGATGTCAAAGTGCGTGTCGCACGGAGAATTTTACCACCGACAGGACGTCCCCACTGCCAGCTGTTGGATTCCCTCCTTATTTTGCTTGAATTGCGACCGCCACCTTCTGATAGTTCTCAAAGTACAGATCTGCCGAGAATTTTGCTGATTGACGAATTCTCATTTCCCGTTTCAGGCCTCATCTATATACCTCCCCTCCCCGCTCGTCGACATCGACATTATATATAGTAGGATAGTGGGAGGAGTTCATTTTCCATTGTTATCAGAAAAGTGATGGCCTAAAAGAAAAAAGTTTTGCGCATGAGCCCAAACTTCGGCCATGTAGTCGCAAGAACTTGTAATGAGGAATGGCCCCTTATCCTTACTTATCAGTCGGATAAATTGCCTGTCACCCGGACAGAATGTTCCTATCACTGAAGCTCTATAATTTGAATGGTGTAAAGGCTCCAGCACTTCGACTGAAGAGCAACGGCAACTTTCCTTATCAGCCCCTATCAGCTGTTATCACTTGCTTTACCCGCCGTAGCCGTCCCAACCTCCCCCTGTATATCATTTACTGGAATCAACGCCTTGGTGTCCCACGTTATGAGTATGTTGACCTTCCCTTTCTAACTCTCCTTATCGAATCTTATCACCTCTTAGCGGTTCTTGTCACCAACCAATAATGTTCCTGTGCCACACCCTATATCATACTTGGAATCAACGATTCACATTTGCTGTAGACCCCATTATCCAGGCAGTAACCCATTCATCCTTCTGCAGCCCCTTATCGAAATCTTCACCTAAGCTGTTAAAAGTTTCTATTCACCCACAAATAGATCTTGTTGATCCCCTTTAGAGCCCTTATGAGATGCTTATCAGCTGATAACACTTTCTACCACCCACAAATGGTGTTCCCGTCACATAACCTCCATCACCTACTAAAAAATGTCTCGCTGCTACTGGGACAAGTGTTATAATTTCGTGATCAGCAGAAACACACAGACACACTTAGCGGATTAATATTAGTAGATCATTGCGGAATAATCGGGCTGGCGTGAGCGGCGCGGTTCGACGACCGCGTCTGGCTGCGCTTGCTTCATCAATGGCATCGCTTAAAGATCATTTAGGATGGAAACCAACCTCTGTGGAAGCGCGCGGAGTGGATGCGGCTGATTGCCGACCCCGAAAGTTTGCAATGCATATAAAAGTATGGTCATTCTTGCGTCATACATTGTTTATTCTCGACCAATACCACCTAAAATCGTCGTTCATAGCGGGCTCGACGTCGCACGCGACGCCAACTGCGCTCGAAGCGCGGCCAGGCGCTTCGAGCGACTACGAAAGAATAGGTGTCGATCCAGCATTTTGAGCGTCCGCCAGCATTTTCAGCGATGCTCAATACCTATACTTTCCTAGTCGCTCAGAACGCTCGCATTCGTAAAAACGCCCAAATGCTGACAGACGCTCAAAACGCTGCTGCAAAGTATGAACGCACTTTTGCGGATCAGTTCCTGGCGTTGTCTAGTAAGGCTGTCAGACGTGCAATTAGTATGTTTTGCACGGTTATCGATTACTTTCTTCGTTTTTTTTTCACCCTGCATCGGCTAAATATGGCGCTGGTGTTGTTCGGCGTCATCATTTTACCATCGACGGGTCAAAACATGCCGTGCAAATCATTTTGGAAGAAGAACAACTCGTCCGAAACTTCGAACTAATGCATTTTAGTGTTGTTAGTGATCATTAGGTGATGAACTAGTTGAGAAATATAAACACCGAGCCAACATTTTTGGCTTAATTTAGGCTGTAAATAATGAAAACCTTCATAGTTTAGTGGTTCGGACGAGTTACCCAGCTTAGTAAATACGTACCATAACCTGTCAGGACACGTCAATGGTAATGTGGCGCGCGTGACGCCGCTTTTCAAGATGGCGGGAAAAAGCTCCCGCTTAGGAATTCAGTAAGAAATAAGCCGTCCTCGGCCATCGTATGCTCAAATGTTCTTACAATTCTGCATTCGTTACTCAAGTAGTGCATAACACAAAGATAGTTTACGTCCCCCCCCCCCCCCGAGTAAATAGGTTAGCTCCCAATTTTTATCCTCCCCCATGAAATTCGCTTCCACTCCTCTAGTATTCCTACTCTTGAAGTGTCTTTCACGTCTCTTGTAGATAAAAATGCTGCTAATAATGATACACAATATGAAATAGTCTTAAAAGCTTTGTGACTTTGTAATGTTTTTTGAAGGGGGTATGACTTAGGAAGGAGTAGTAAATGGCTGGTCACAAAATAGGAGACTGTAAAACTTGATATCCATTTTTCTAGGCCTTTGCCTCCGGAAGGAGTGAAGAATTTCGCAAAAAATGTCGAGCTGTTTTAAGTGATGCGGAAGCAGCCATGAAGTCACCTGAAGAGTTCCAGTGAGTTGTACTCTTCCGCCCTTTGTAGGTTTCCTTTCAATGTTTATTCCACTATAACATTTTAGGGCACGAAAACCTTCAAACATCAGTGATGACAACCCAGAGTTATGCAGTTATTCGGATTTCCGTCGTAATACTCAGATTTTAATGCGGGACTTGAAAGGAGGTTTGTTAGGTTTTACAAAGTGGGAAAGCCCATATCCCACTGTGAGGGGCGTTGATACGTATTTCATGGCGTATATCTCGCGGGATATTTTAAACAACACAAATTCTTTACGTGACAGGACAATCGTATATCACCGCGCTAGAGGGCATCGCGTGTGATGTCGCTCTCGCAAATGACGTGTTTCTAAGTCGTAGAGGTCGGCAGTGGGCAAGCAAATCCGGTGCTTTGATCAACAGAGTAATGCAAATGAACGAAACTTCGCACCCATCGCGTGCGACGAACCTGCGACTTACGATTGTCTTGGCCGTCTTTCATTAAACTTAATCGAGTGTTCGTATAGCGGTTAGCTTTTAATTGCATCGTATCAGTTGCAGAGTCCCGGGCCGATGCCACGATTCCAATGGGCTGGGCCTGTGCTGCTTTGAAAAAGTTTGCAAAAAAGACCTACATTGAAAAGGTACGCTCTTTTAGCCCCAAGCAGGGAGATTTTTCTTGCAGTAGTTTTCTATTGTGTAGGTTATTCTATAAGTTGTGTAATTTGACTTCGTTATATGTTAGCTTTTTTGAACAATTCGACCAGATGTCTCTCCCTTCTAGACATGGAAAGAAGAGAATCTATATGAGTTAATATGGACGATAATGTGTCAACGTCCAAATTTGAAAAAGTTCGTATTATTCTTGTTAGGTTTTTCGGTTTGCTCTAGCACGTCTCGTAAATTCGTTTCTGTGGTCAAATCAACATCGGCTATTAATTTAGGTTTATTTGTGATTTACTCGAGAAAGATTTTCACGATTATGGAGCGGCACGGTATTGGCGTCGTATGCAGCCTGCACTGATGCACAGGACAACTGTACAGAACAGGTAGGTAAGGGGTACTGCAGCAAGTTGAAAAGGGAGCTCCTCCGGCGCTAGTAACTATGGAGATGGGGCCTTCTAGGAAGATCCACGTCACCTAAATGAGCCCTTCAAGTTGGTTCACCATCTGCGGAGCCCTTTCCTTCTATTTTGGGCAAAAAAACCTCGTCTATCGCGGGATTAGTTTTACACAAAAAATTCTATAGATCTCCCGGCCACTCCTCAAGGATTTTGGCGATATTTCCCCTCTGTTGTTCAGATCGCTTTTAGGTCTTGCGAATGTTAAGAATCCACAATTCTAGAGAGTCGCCGACAAAGGGCAGCATTAATTTTTATCTGTATAATTCGCTATTCAGGAGAGTCGGCGACTGAGTGGGGTCGACCGAATCCGCCACTAGCGCTAGGTGTCAAAAATTTAGGTGAGGATCGATCAATGCGTGATTGGTTGATTCCCACCTAACTTTGCCTTCACTTTTCTATAATCTAGGATTCTCTAGCTCGGTACGCATACGTTCCTTTGTCGCTTACTTTTTGAAATCGCGGATTTCTTTTACATAAGCAGGAAGTTGGCACGCTCTCATATGAGGCTCCTGGTCCTCTTTTTATCAACTTGATTTTACTTGCTTCTTCCAATCATTTCAAACAATTTGTTCTTAAAGGCAGTTGGCACGATAAATCCCCAAGACGACTAGGATCAATACTCCTGGCAGGATAGAATTCCGCGACCCTGGGCAGGCGCTGCATAGCGGTTTCCCGAGGAAGGTGCCCTTATAAGGGCCCTATCAAGCCACAACTTTACGTCCCAAACGCCCGCCACGCCCGCCCGCCCACAAATGGACGACCGTTCCTGACGCTCGTATTCATTCATTTGCTAAGCAAATTATGAAGCGAAGGGATTGGTATGAAGCGGCCGTGATGCTGCATGCATACATGGGTACACATATGCAGCCGTATCTTCGGCGGTGATTGGTAAGATGCCTACGGGAAACTCGTCCGAAATCGATTTTCAAGTCACTGAGAACGGAGGCTTTTTCTTCGCAGGATTTTGACCGTTTCACTCCGTTCTTTCGCCACTATACACGTTTTAGGCTAAGTAGGAAACCATCGTGCCAACTGCCTTTAACTGACACTTTGCAGTTTTCAGAAATGAGATGTGTCGTGACCCTTTACTTCCAACAGAAGACTATTTGAATTTCCATAATGACGTCAAAGTGAGTCCTCGCATTTTTTTACTACTAGGGTGTTCTAGTGAACCTCGGGAACACACTGGTTTTTCTTTGTTCCAGAATATTGTATTTGTACGAACGGCAGCTGATTTGCATATGCTTAGCGAAGAACTGACTCGATTGAAAAACAAGGATCCACTCTGCAGAGTAATTGTTGGTCTTGATGCTGAATGGAGCGCATATGTTGCTAATAGCAGGTGCCAATTTGGTTCGATTTTTTTCCTTTTTACCGTTAGATGACTCGCTAGATTCCATTATCATTCATCGGGCACTTTCACAATCACTAGTATCTACACGGTGTGGCTCTAGGAACCACTATCATCGATGCTCTGTAATAAGATTTTGTGAATCCGGCTGTTTTTAGGGCGACTATCTTGCAGTTGTCACTTCGTGACCGTATATTCATCATCGATCTCGATAATCGCTCAGAGCTTCCCGCTAGTGCATTACGGGAATTTTTCGCAATGTTATTTCTTGACAAGTCCATTTTGAAATTGGGTGAGTTGTGTTGTTTTCATTTCAAGGTTCACCAGCGACCGTCAGCGTCCACCAGCGTTTCGAGCATACGCCAGGGCCAGCGACTAGGAAAGTATAAATATCGGTCTGGCAATCTACCAGCGTCCATCAGCGTGTCTACGGAATAGCGAAGAATGGGTAATGACAAGAGAATCGTAATTTGCTGCGCAGGCATGACGAGCGACGCTGCGCCGCGAGAGACGACTTCTCCTGCTAGCCATTCAAATTTGAATATCGAAGGGACGGGTAGGGTGCTCTGATAAGGAAGATCAAGTGTTTCTATGGAAATCGCCAAAAACATGTGAAATATGTGCGGAACTATGGAAAAAAACATACAACGGCTCTCGTGAGTGCCGCTGTTCCAGTCGAGAAGCTGGCGCACATTTCAAATTTCCCGCTCCCTTCGCCGCGTGATGTCCACATAGAAAATTTCCCCACTTGTCGCCGGACGGTGCCGCGCGCGACGGCGCTGCAACTTACGATTCTCTTGTCCGGCGCCCGGGAATTGTATGTGTAGATCGAGCAAACGCCAGTCCACTAGCGTGGCAGTGTTTTTGGGGGAACTTTTGAACTTGAGCAGAATTGCCCGCGAAAACGCTGCTGTACGCTGTGGAACCTAGATCGATACATATACTTCTGTAGTTCCTCGAGATGCTGGCGTGCGGTCGAAACGCGGGTGGACGCTGACGCAAACTATGAACGTAGCTTGACATATCCCGCCCCAACCTGTTTCGATGAACACTACGGGCATACGTGGGAACGCAGAACCAAAGAGACACAAGGAGGAATAGCAATAATAATAGATACATGACCCATTCAGATAACTATCCACGAAGACGCCTGTTTCTCGGAGCATTTCACGATCCAATAAAGACTGCATCTAAATAGAAGTAGTATTGTTCTCTGAACTGATTCACCAGCCGTGGAACTCCTCCCTCTTTAGACCGAAGTCCTCACCTCCACTGCAGAAATCCCAGTTCCATTTTGATCCTGATGAGCACAGATGGAGGATTGTGCTGCTGCTTGTTTTCCATCTAATGTAAGGGGTCAGGGCTTGCGAAATAGATGGTGGGTACTTCTTCGCTTTTACCCTATAAGGTTGCTTATTTGTTCGGTTTTTACCAACTCCATGATTTCCTCGCACTAGGGCCCCTTAAACGCCTTCCCCAAGGTTATAAGCGCCGGTATCAGCGCTGCTTGAAGAACCGAGGTCAAGCAGTTCGTACTCCATAAGTACTTGTTAGGTTTAAGATGTTCTTTTCGCGAGCACGTTTTCACTCTCATTCGTAGATCTTCGACGGGCTTCCAGAAAGAAGGCAGCATTTGTCAGCGTTTATAAGAGTTCTAATTTAATTTTTTCGGACGGTATTGCAGGGTTCCAGTTCAACGAAGATCTCGTGCAGATGCGAGCCGCGGTTCCGCACTGTCGTGCGTTATTCGAGCCAGAGAACGTTATCTGCGTTGGAAGGTTATTTGCAGATGTGAGTTAATCACGAGATGGCTTTTTTGTTTAATGTTCCTTAAAAAATAAGTTATTTTCTGTAGTGTATTTCTCGGAAAAATTCTGATTTTAGCTATTGGAGGCGAACAGAATAACATCATCGAAAGACTGGCGAGAGGAGATTTTCAAATAGTTAAAGTATAAACTCTGCCTCCCAGTCTATTTATACTGATAGATAGCGAGGCAACCCAGAGACGACACTCAGACCAGAGCATGAAACGAATATCGTGAGACTGGCTTAGCTTTGATTTTTTTTTTATCTTGAAAAAATCGCTATACTCCTCAACACGTAGCGGCTTAGGTGGTCACTCCGTCAGCGCTTTATCGAGCACACACCGAAATGATTTACCTTTTTTTGTAATTACAGGGGCCGGTACGCTTATCATGTTTTCAAGTTATTTTTAGATATTGCCGATGCCCCCCGAATAGCGCCACCAAAAGCCGCAAAGGCGAGTCAGTTTCTTACAGCGAACAAGTGAATCGCGGCCGTTTCGCTATGTGTAGTTGAACGAGTTTTTCGGGTTACGTACCATCTCTTCTTGACAATTACGAGCAAATGTTGCGCGTTGGATCGACTGGTCTTCGTTACGCATCTCAATCGGTCTGTTTTTGGTATCATTGATTTTAAAATCTCGTCTTGGCTATTGTGGATTATGTTAATTACTAAAAACAGAAGGCGATTCAGTCGGCGTTCGCTGCGATGATCGGAAGGCATTGCTGGTCCACGATATGTTGTGGCGTTTCCCGCATTGGGCGCTTCATGTGCTAGTGAATGGCTGCTGTCAATTACTAAAAGTCACAGAGTCTAACGAGATTAGTAGCATAGGTCGTGCTCTTGTTTTAGTTATTTGCTATTATACATGTCGCCCTTTGAATTTTCAAAGAGTGGAGAAGTTGAACTGAATAATTGGAAGAGTCTGGCTGATCCATCCGAGCTCGGCTTCTGAAAGTTGGTTCTTTCATCGATTTCAATTCGTTTCGAAGGTGGGAGGGGTTGCTTAACACTCATTCTTTTTTCTTCGCTCGTCGCCTAAATTAAGATGAAAATCTCGAAGACCAATTTTAACAACTGTTGGAAAGTGGCGGAAGCCAAATAGGGGGGAAGGCTTTTCTCACTTAGTATTATAGCTGGGGTGGTCGTCTGGATATTGGACGATTGGAACACGCTATCGCTGGATCGCTTGCTTCACTCGATCGGAGGCTAGCTGTTAGCCGCGAGGGCAGTGTGAGCGCCTAAGCGGACTGGGAGCGGGTTCTATGCGCGTGCGCTATGGAAAAAAGGTGAACGCCTAGTTTACTTCATGGTCACTCATTGGTCCCATGTTACTGTATCTCTAGCACTAAGGTTAACTTTTTCACTAACTTGGCATCACCTATAAATTCGTTCGGTCTGTTTGAATTCTGTTTTGTTTAAGTTTGTTGGTTCCTGTCCGGAATTCGTCCGACGAGCCAGAGTGTCGGGTCATAGGTGGGGATGGGTAGAGAAATTGGACATTAGAAATAAAAACGCACTTATTTTTCACTCTTATTGCGAAGAGTGGTTCGATCTGGGCCCGCCTAAAGTTTGGGTCTGATCGCACTAGAAGTGTTCATACATTGCTTCGATGAGCAGCTCAAGGTGAGGAAAAGTGGAATGAGGTTAGCAAGCAGTTGTCAAACTGTGTTAGACACATCCAAAATGAGCCGGGCGTACTCAAGGTGGGCGGCGCTTCTCACAAAAATCAGTAACACGAGGTTTCGAAAGAGGGTTCAAAAGTCTGCCCAAAAAGCTCCCAATGCCAGAATTGTAAATATACTGGCGAGTGTTGGGACACTCGCTCTAAGTGGCGTCGAGAAACGCCCGCCGCGCGAGTCGGCGGACGCTTGCGCCTTACTCGCAGTGATATCCATTTTAGAAGTTGTGGCTCCAGTTCGTTCAGAACACTCCAGAAACCGGAAAAGGGGATCAACGCTCCAGCGAAGGGCTGGGCGCATTGATTGAGGATGTGGGGCACAAACATGTGTGACTTGGGGCCTGCTCCTAGGTGGGCGGAGTCAGACAAAAGATCTGCAAAACGGTTTCAGAGCAGTCCAGACAACCTATACAGTCAACAGTCAACATGTAATCAGAGATGTGCAGGACCTCAACTTTGGATATGGGACACAAGGTTTGGATTTCTGGGCACAAATCTTCCAGTTGAGAGTGTGTCTGTGGTGTGTTGTAGCCCGCTCCCAGTGGGCGGAGCGCACGACGTACTTATTCTTACTGAGTTTTAGCGCGTATTCATGCCATACTCTTGACCACACGTATTTAGGATTTCCAGTCGGTTGATGCCAGCGCTCCTCCTCCTGTGCTACGGCCCAAGTTGGCCGGACGGGCACGGCTTCGCCACACATTCCTTCCCCAGCTATTACATCTGTGGCCTGCGCGCCATAATCGAAATAGTTCCAGAACACTCCAGACCACCGGAAAAAGTGGATTAAGGTCAGCAGACGGTGCGCCGGTGAGGATTGTGGCGGCACAAACATTGTGGGCGGGGCCTGCTCCGAGGTGGGCGGAGTCAGAACACAAAAAATCAAACGGTTTCAGAAGCCAACCAGCCACCTATCACACAGTTCAGAGACCGTCAACATGTAAGCAGAGATGTGCAGGACCTCAACTGTTGGATATATGGCAAGAGTTGAGTGTGTCTGTGGTGTGTTGTAACCCGCTCCCAGTGGGCGGAGCGCACGACGTACTTATTCTATAACTGAGTTCCAGCGGGTACCTTCTGTCATATCTCTTACCACGCGTCAAAAGGTTTAGCGATTCCAGTCGGCTGAATGCAACGCCTCTTCCTCCTCCTATGCTACGGCCTAAATTGCGCGGAGCGGAGGCAGGCCACACATATCCTTCCCCAGCTATTCTGTTTGCCAGCGCCGCATAAATCGGCGGACTTTAGTACCACTTCATACTCAGTAATAGTCAAAATAGCAGGGATGACGTATTTGTCGAGAAGCTTTAACTACGAGTACAAAATCCTGATATCAGTTGAGTCCTATAATGGAAAGGACGGTAATGGCGCGGGCAAAGTCCTGCCGCTCGCCCGGCAACAGCCGGCCGTATCCAGAAAAGAACGCGAGCACGGCGTCCAGCCGGCGAGCGACTACTGCCGTGATACTATAAAGTGCTGATTGTGCGTCACTAAGGTGTTTTTGTCATAGCCAACTATTGCGTGTTGATGAGGATATGGAAGTTGAAAGGGGATTTCTGCTGTAACATCTGATAGGTAGTGGTAAGTACTTATCAAGTGAGTTGCGAAAGCAGCGGGATTGTTGTGAATTTAGCAAAAATGATGTTAACTTATGAGTCTGTTATCGTGGAAGCGAACGGCTTGCGAATTACTTACAGCAGAGTCGTTCTTCGTAATGGGTGGATATCCGCCGTGTGATGCGACCGTTTTCACTTCCCTATTCTTCCTCCCGCACCGCTTATCACTGAATTACGAACGTCCTCTGTGTGACCCTCATCACTATATTTTACCTTTCATCACTAATCGAAAATTTCCGCCAAATAATTCTGCATCGTTAGAGACGGAGAGAGGAGGTGGACAAAGAAGAAACTAAAGAATGGGAAGTCCGTCCAATCTTACCATAGACAATAAAACTTTTTTTGAATGCGAGGACCTATGTAGATCGATGTAGTTTCTAAAAGGTTATCTTACAAATATAATACAAAACTGCAACCTCATTTCACAAGCAAACTTTATGACAGTGTAAAGTAGTTTGATAATGAGTGGCATTAATGGGTGGAAGCTTGGCGGGTGGAAGCGATAAGCGAGGAATCGCATACGCTCCAAAATGAGTCGTCAGCCAGTTGTTCAATCGTCGAATACTTATACTTTGAACTCACCACGACTTCGTCATTGACATATGCGATTGCTTCGCTATGCTTCACAGCTCACATATCACCCAATAGCCTCCACTCTACTTTACTGCATCATTACCTTGCTCTTATGACAGTTTGTCTGTTGAAATGCAGGCTGCAGTGCTACCTATATTTGTAAATGAGCCTTGATAGGCTATCGTATTCCCAGCGTCACTAATTCAAACGTTTCGCAATCGGTAGGATTTGGCTGACTTCCCTGGCTTGGTAAGCTAAGGCGGGTAGCCGCTAACTACGTGTGTAAATGGGAAAATCATATAATTGCTTCCAAAGCCACAGCACGATCAGCTTTCTCCCATGGCGATCCTTAATAGGACGGCGACCCCTTGAATGGTTCCTTAATATGTATAGCTACTAATTCTGATCAGGAATACTGTGGACCCCTATTAGGTATTTTCCGAGTATGCTTCCGAGCGAGCACCAGTTCCCGATCGATCTCTAGCCATTGCTAATACTTCGCCAATAGATTTACGGGCTCGAGACCATGGAGGCAATGCAGCAAATGCGCATTGAGCTGTATATGCTCAATTAAGTGGCTCCCTGTAGCGTAAATAGGTCGATACGCAATCTGTTACCGCGAATTATAGCAGAAGATTGCGGGTTCGAGTCCCGTCCGTGGTCACGTACTTTTTGGCCCACAACTTAGTCGTTTTTGTCAGCATCTTCTTGTCGATTAATAGCAATGTACCATCAGTATCGAGGTTTGTCAGAGTTTTCAATGAAGGCAATTGACATCACGCATAAGCGGTTCGTTCCACGTGTTTCGCTAATCTAAGTATCATTAGATGTCGATCTGTCTAGAACCATGAATTGAGTATTAAGGCGTGTTAGATCCCGATAGCTCATAATTGTAGTACAATGAAGACTGGTAATACGCTGGGATATCCCGCGTTGGGGTGACCGGCGTTCGAAAACGTCGGCGTCATGTCTCGACGTCATAAATCGCATTCTAGGGCACGTATTTAGTGAAACATAGGAAAGGGTCATTCGTGAGTATCAAAAGCTTAGAATCACTACTAATTACCCCTCGGAATCGCTTCCCGCGTTAAGGAGGTCCATGAGATGAGGTTAGGGTGGAGTGTGGTGTGCATATGCATTTAACGCAAGGAGTGTGTAAGATTGGAGGGCAAACTGACACGGTGGACCTGAGGAACAAGGTCACACACTGCTCAGAGTGTTCACTACTTCGCGATCCGTGATCGCGCTGTTCAAGGCGCGTCCTCTGTTCAGTTTTGTATTGCATTCGCTGCAGTTATGATCCGCTCTTAGGACATGCGTTTCAGACATAGTCGCGCTTGAACGCGAGTCGATTGTCTAGGGCGCCATTGATTGTGCGCTGAACCACTTGCGTTGCTGCGCTTGAATGGCGGCGTACAATTACAAGGCGCGCTCCGCACAGTGTTTACGACAGACTACGACTTCCTTCATGTTTCTTGCTCTTCGAGGTATTTTCAACTCCCCTTTTTCACCGTTTTCTCAATTTCTACTCTCGGTTTCTTAAACTCCTCTTTTCCCAATGGTTTAACATTGAATTTCAGATGGTAGTTTTTTGATGAAGAGGACTACTGGTGATAGATGATCCTAGTATACCCGTCCTTTAAAAAAGAAACTCATTCCGTCAAAACCTTCAAATTACTACATTAATCGAATGTCATAAGTGAAAAAGAGGAGATTAAAAGAAGATGTTAAATGTACCAAAAAGAAAGAACATAAGGGAAGCTGTGAGTTCTGGTACATTGGAGCGTGCTTGTTGACTGTAGGCGTGATTCAAGAGCAGCAATCCGCGTGATTATACGCGCGGTACCAAGTCTGAACGCTGCATTGCATTATGGCTTAAATCCGGCAATGCGACTGGGTACCTTTTCTTATGTTGCTGTTTAATTTTTTCCTATTCGAGTGGTACTTATGCCCAAATTTTGCGATTTCAGTTGCGATACGCAGCGATGGATGCCTACTGTTTGGTGTTGATATATGACGTATGCTGTCGATGGGCGCAGCGTTTGGACGTGTCGATAGATGAGATTTTGAGTCGGCAAGAACCGATTCGTGTCTCACCTCCGCTCCTTAGCGAAGAGTTTTAATTAGTTCCCTCCCTCCCACTGTCTCATGTTCATCCTCGTCTTAATTATGTTCTCAAATTAACGTCATCAGCGATATTGTCATCGTTTCACTTACTGAAATCATTCTCACAATTGCGTTACTCCTCGTCCTCGTTCAACTGTACTAGTAAGTCTAGCCGTTATCGTGTTGGCGTATAGAGAGTACTGGGAATTACAGAGAATTTGTGAGTGAAAATTATTAATAAATTTTACATAGTTATATGGTTTTGGAGGCTTTTCCGCGGTCATAACGTTGTTTAGGCGGGGGGGGGGGTGGGACGGACAAAAGAATCGCATTTTGCAGCGCCATCGACTATTGCTGTCATAGCTGACTACATGGAGCATCAAAAGCACCCTTTCCCGTCCCTTTAATATTCGAATTTGAATGACTAAGCAAAAAACTCGTCTGTCGCGGCGCGGCGTCGCGCGCAAGCCCGCTAGCGCGGCAAATTACGATTCTCTTGTCACATACCCGTTCAGGCGAGTGTGGTGTGGTGTGGCATGTGGCACCGCTCAGTGGCTGTGGCACCCCCCCCCCCCCGCGAAACGCACAGCAGGGCATGTCCTATCTTGAGAAAAGGTCTGTGAAATACCGCCTCATTGCCCCTGCGACCACCACCTCCTCCTACCACCAACATGGTACCACACGCCTTTCCGCCTTTCTTCTTCCTTAGCATTTCCCTGAATACTCCACCAACTTCCTACCACTTTTTTGGTTTTTTTAATTGTGCAGTTTTCCCACAAGCTGCCCTTGAGTGGCGGCGACGAAGGGGGGGCGGGGTTTAAGTGTTGAGGTAGAGATCGTCGCATGCGGGTCACCGAAGCGTAGCCGAAACGATCTCTGGTTTGGCGAGGGTCCGCATTCCTGTAAAAAGTTGTGGAAGTTTGGGCGCTGCTCTTTTGGCAGGACATTTGGAGCACTCTTTGTGCAGAAGTGGTGCTGACGTGATTCAGATAAAAGGACCATCCTTGAAAGTAGTCCATCCACTGCAGGACTCCTTACCCCTTGAGGTCTGGGAAAAGTCCTCTCTTCTTCCACGATAATTCTAGTTTGGCACAAGGATTCCTAAAGGCAAGTGCACGATGAATTGAAAAATGTATAGAGTCGCGTACGCATGCACGTTAATATTATGTCCCTTAGCAGGCATCTTTCCCAACCAGGGGCACCCTTATAGTGCCTAAGCGATATGCAAAATGCCGACCCAGACGCCCACCGCAACCGCCCGCCCACAAATGGCCGGGTCACACCGATGTTAGTGCTCTTATCGCACTTGTGAAGTTAGCATGTCGATATCGGACACTTCTTCAAACGGCAGATCGGACACTTTTCAAAACAAATAGGAGCACAACCAAATCGGACACTTTTCAAACCAAATCGGACACTTTTCAAATCAAATCGGACACACCCCTTACAATTAGGTGGTTGATAACTAGACCACACTAGGTACTGTTGCAAGCCCCGCCCACTTCTCTGCACTTCTTAGCGCGACAGGGTTTCCGACATGCCTTACATGGAATCTGCTCCCTCCGATCTTTTTTTTCGCTTTGTGGCCTTGCAAAACACCTTCAACTGAAGAAGATGATGATTGATCGCTGTCAGTCTGACTCCGCCCACTCTAAGGAAGTACGTAGTCTCTGGATTTTATATTTTTTTAGACCGTAGTTCTTTTCACATCCAATCTTCACAAAACGAATAACCATGCACAGCACACCAGGCCCCGCCCCTCTGACCCCGCCCACTTGTGTTTATCGCGGAATTTTGGTTTTTCTTCCGGATTTTCGCTTTTTTAGGCTTTAGCGATTGGCTCCGCCCACCAATGGAAGCTCCGCCCACTTTGGGGAAGCCCCGCCCACTTTTCGAAATGAGCAAATGGGCGGGCCCAGTGTACTGCGTATATGACGGTGTACGGCTCTCTCCGGTACGATAGAATAAAAAAAGGGAAACCGTCAAAAAAATGGAAACTTTGTTCTGAGCGACAGGGTTAAACAGCATCGTTGATGTATGAGGTGTAGTGTACGGTACGAACCCCCTGGCCGAGAGATGGGGTTGATCAGTACGACCCCACGCTCCCGCTTTCTCATACACCTAACTCCCAAATTTCCCAACTTTCCTGCAGTTTTTTCACCAACAGTTTTCCCGTAGGGGGGGATCCAACGCGACAAATTCCTCTCAAGAGGCACATACGACCCCCACCTCTCCCCAACGACCAAATACGTCCCTCCTCCCCAGAGAAAAAGTACGCCTCCTCTATGTGCTTCACACAACGATGCTGTACCCTGGCCGTAACTACCAAAGCGGTTATTGGCACGATGTCAACGGGGAACTCGTCCAAATGTTGTCCAACCTGCACTTTTTGTTTTCGGTTTTTCAACTTCGCTTTTTCGTCAGTTCCCCACTGTATAGCACCCCAGCTACTATGTTTGAGCGAGTACCTGATTATCGTGCCTTATGCCTACAAAAGCCCTCCTGCCTGACATCAGTGGGGCCGAAGTTTGCGTCAAGAATGGAGACTTTACCGTTTCGAGTTTGTTCCCTTCCCCTTCCTTGGCCAATGGGATTTTTCTGGGAAGTTGGAGGTAAGGAGAGGTGGGCAAGTTGACAAACTCAAAGTTTTATGTCGAAGAGGGGTCGTACTGATTGTTTGTGGGTGCTTTCCCTTATCCTTATCTCCCCCTACCTTTACTCTGATTGATTGAAGCTAAACACCTAAGGCTAAAATCTGCGAGACATCCTAGTCCGGCGCTGAATGTGTTGCCGCCTTGGTCAGGATTGAGATCGCGCAATCCGGTTTCGTCATAGATCCGTACCTTAAAGCGTGAGCATAAGAAGTAGATGAACTCAAAGTCGCATTGCGGTGAAAACATTTCAAGTTCATTGTCTGCATCTGTCGAGCCTATAAAAGCTGTTCGAGCGGCTTCATCGTGCTTACCGTCAATAGCCCACACCCTGATGGATCCTGACACGAAGATCAAGGTGGGTTTTCTGTCGACTACATATTCTTTCTCGGTATGCGGCATAGAAGCTACGGGAAGGGCACGCCATCGTTGTGGTAATCACAACGAGGGGTCGTATTTGACCGCGAGGGAGAGGGGGTCGTAATTGCCTTTGACAGGAATTTGCGGCGTTAGGCATTGTTCACACTCTGCGGTCCAACGCGGCGGTTCGGCGAAAAGCTTTCGATACATATCGACTGGCGGTTGGGCGAAAGGGTTTTGGTACGTATCGACGGGCGTTTCGCCAAACCGCGACGTTTTTCGCCTTCGACAAAACGCTAGCTCCACCGCGGCGGTTGGGCGGTTGGACGGTTGGGCGATTCTCCGATCGATGACTATTTATTGCTTTTCTCCCAACCGCCGGGTCGCAATCTGTGAACAATGCCTTAGAAAAAACTTCTCTCGGTTGCTGGCTTTTTGCGGTTTTTCCCGTTTCACTGGTTTTATATACCTCCTTCCCATCCCCCCCCTCCGCTCGACAGCAAAATCCTGGGGAAAACAGGAAATTTTCCGGGAAAAAACTGGAAAAAGTGGTAGGTGGGTTGGGAAAGTCTAGGAAAATGGTAGGTAAAATGGGAAGGGGGTCGTATCAGAACATGGAACTAAGGGGGTCGTATTTTTGAGGAATTTATCACAACGCGATGGCGTGCCCTGGTTACGGGGTAGGACTAGCTTTTAGAGCGCGAATCAGTTTTTGCCGTAGACAGCCTTTCCCGTTGTGGACGAGGTGAGTAATCACAAAAATGCTTAGTTCTGAGCATTACCCCTACCCTCCCCCCCCCCCTCCGGTCATGGGACATAACTTAGAGCGGGACTCGAACCCGCAGCTTAGGATAGGGCACAAAAGCCTTTTAAGTGGAAAGGAGAAGGAGGAGAAGAGGTCCAGGTAGCGCAACGTTTGGCGCATTCGCCCGGCAAGACCACAGCTTCACATGAATTAGCTTTGAATTTTAGAAATTTTTGCTCATGTTTTGTGTTCTTTGGACGAGATTTTCAGCTTTTTAGGCGTATCGCCTTGTTGGCTATGCAGCAGTGACATTTTCAACACTTACTATACTAACCGTTTGTATAACACTACCAGTCGTCTATAACTATGTGCATAGTGTTCGTCGTCAAATGGAAGGTGAAATGTTGGCATGCCAGGTAATATTCGGGCAAATTCCGAGGCGCTAAAGTGGTCAGGGAGGGGCAGTGGGGAGCGAGACTAGACCGCACCGTTTTCCAATTGTTCATGTCCTCTTATTGAGATGGTGGTTGCCATCTCCGACCTGCCTAAGCCTTGGAGGACGCAAACGAACAAGGAGTGTGTGTGGCCAACTCTTGCTCCCTTCCCCACCCCAACTACCTTGGCACCTATCAAATGAGCTCATGGACTACATTACCGGTTTTAGAAGAACGCCCGAACGCTGTGGGCTGAAGTGAACGCCCTGAAGGATGTTCCTATAATGCCTAATAGAACTGAACGTATTCCGAGAGAAGTTTACGGTGAAAGTGACGTCGAAGTGGGTTTCTAAATATGACTATCCTGACGCTCATGACGCGCGCGATCGCGGCTCTGCAAGAGCAGTTGCCGCCACGCGACCGCTCGCGCCCTTACCAACGCTGTAAACGATGTATTCATTCAGTGTCATCATATTCAGCCTCAGTGAGCTCAGCCTTTCAGGCGACCACCTTCGCAGAGATGGAAACTTACAGTGTCAGCGGCTGCGACGATTGCTGTCTCCCTGGAGCACAAGGTCCACAGGGTGCTCCAGGGAAGCCTGGGAAACCGGGTGCACCTGGAAAGCCTGGGTTCCCTGGGAAACCGGGTCGTCCCCCAACGCGACCATGTGCACCGATCACCCCACCACCGTGTCCTCCCTGTCCACAAGGCCCACCTGGCCCCAATGGACCACCAGGACCACCAGGTAACGCTGGGATGCCAGGTGAGCAGGGACCGAAAGGCTCCGATGGACCTCCTGGCGAACCAGGACTCGAAGGACGAGCTGGCATGATAGGAAATCCTGGCAATACGGGGCCAGTTGGTACTCCTGGAGAGCCAGGAATCATTGAGCAAGAAAAGCCCGGACCACCTGGAGAACCGGGGAAACCAGGAATGGAAGGTCCTCGAGGGCCAATTGGACCCCCTGGTAAGGACGGAAATCCGGGAACGCCGGGGATGCCAGGGCCAACTGGACCACCAGGGCAGCCGGGTGACGACGGCCAGAATGGGATGCCCGGGCGAGCAGGCATGCCCGGGAAGCCCGGAGAGAAAGGTATCTGCCCGAAGTATTGTGCCGAAGATGGCGGAGTTTTCTTCGAGGATGGCACAAGACGTTGAAGTTATGGTGTTTTTTGTAACGTTACTTCTGCAGAATAAACATTTTACGCAAATGTCTCAATTCATGTGCGTTGGGGGGGGGGACTACATGTATATGTATTTCAGCTACACAGTTCTCATACATTTGAGCGGAGGATTAGATATGATTTCTGTACAATATCGATTTTTCGAAATGCGCCATGCCTTCCCCTACCAATTGGAATTTCAGAAAAGTGTAAACATGTGTAGAGTATAAGTATCGATCAATCACTTCGGCCATCTGATGCTTTAGGATCCCTTTAGGAGCTAACATCAACGAGAGGACCATTTAAAGGCAGTAAGCTTGGTGACTGGAGGTGGGCGATTAGGGCCAACGTCATTGGTGGAAGGGCGTTTGGCCAAACCTCACTCTGCCTTTCCACCAATGACATTAGCAGCAACCCCGCCCCCTGTGGCAGCAACCGCCTGCCCCCGGCCATCGTGTCCACTGCATTTGAAAGAAGTGACCGTGGTCAAAGCAGAATTGAACCAGAAAGTGGGCACATGCTAGAGTAACCCTCCGCTATTGCAGTACAACTACATACTTTCTATGATATCAGAAAATGAATCTGGGGAGGGGGGGGAGGGGGTAGGAAATGTTATGGAAAATAGCAGATCAAATACTCTCGAAGCAGCGTGCAAAACGTGCAGCCTCGACCCATTCAAAAAAGGCGTGGTCAGGAAGTTTGAGTTGCGGCGATACGCAGGAAGTAGTGCGACGCATGCGGCGATTCCCAGGTAGTAGTTTTTGCCTACTACGGCACCTTTGCGACGAATCAGGTGCGGGTGCGAATGCCGCGCACGCAAAACCACTTGCGCGTTCTCCGTCTGCCTGAGGGGTTTTAGCATCGAATCCTTCAAAACGCAGAAATTGTTCGCGATTGTGCATAAATTACTTCCGTTCGTACCTGCGAACCACTGGAGAAGAGTTCCTGCATCGACCATCCCCCCCCCTTCCTCTGGCCACCTCCCTCGTAATCTTCGGTCGGTATAATGGCCCAGCTCACTACTTGAAAACAGGGCACGCCATCGCGTTGTGATCATTTCCTGAAAAATACGACCCCCTCCCCATGCTACCTACCACTTTCCTAGATTTTCCCAACTTCCTACCACTTTTTCCATTTTTTCCGAAAAATTTCCAGTTTTTCAGCCAAGAATTTTCCGTCGAGCGGGGGGAGTGGAGGGAGGAGAGGTCAGATACGACCCTCCCCCCATTGTGATCATCACACCGATAGCGTGCCCTGCTTGAAAAGGCGAAAACGCTCACATGATATCCTCGTTTGGCTTATACGGGGGATTTGAAAAAATTCCTTCTACAGAACTGGGATTGCTGGCGTTAAAATAATAGAGCTGAAGATCCGGGGTAGGTTAGCCATTTTACTTGTGGAAAAAGTGGTTTGAAAATTGGGTGTTTCCATGCGGAAGAAGCTGAATTAAATGTCCCATTCTCGGCAGAGTTTTCCCGGCATACGAATTCTAATCATTCTCCGGTTCTTACTGCTTGATTAATGTCGCTACCTAGGCGACACTGTGCTAGATAGGCTGAAGTGCGGGTGTGCCCGGCAAGAACACACCTGTCACGGCTCCGTACTCAGTCAGTAATTAACTTGACGAGAACTATGGCCTTGATAAATAATTCTCCCTGCTTGACAGACTGCTTGCTGTATGAATGAAAAGCTCCGATGAGTAACATGTGCTGAAAAGCTTTTGAAAATCTCTTATGGTTAGCACCGTCACGCCCCTTGAGGTCGAAACAAGGGAGTTTTTCAAATATTATTACAAGTTGCGTAATGACCAAAAGCAAGAAAAAAGCTGGAAAAAACTTTGCTCGAAGCAGCCCTATGTGAATAGAATCACATGACGAAGAGCCTTGTACGTGAATAAGGCCAAGAAAGGGCGTGGTCGGACGAGATGTCACATTCTGCTGCCGGCACTCTCTCCCTGTAACCTCACTCCTTCCATTTGAATTGGAGAGAACGTAGTAGCGGGACAACAGAACCCAAGAAGCCTTTGAAAGTGAAAATCACGTGTTGCGGTTGACAGAGGGCGGATCGTTAAGGGCGCGCAGTGGTGCTTTCCTCATTATTTTTGTACTGCGGAAGTACTCACATCCTCCATTGCTTGCAGGCAGGGCTATACATCCGAAAGAGGTGTCTGAACTCTTGCGACAAACAAAAGAGATCTGGTAAAGGAAGTTTCTCCAGTGCGGAGAATTCTGCCAAGACAGGGAGTATTCGCAACTCTGTGTGGGGCAGAGAACAAAATGAATCGGGAAAACGACTGCGGACATTTAGAGAGCAAACAAATCTCGTACCTGAAGGGGGATTTTAAGGCTGCTACTTTCACCGATTGAGAATAAACTCGCTGAGTTGTAACTTCTGGAAATGATTCATCAGATAATGGCCAATGATTTGACAATCTGGCCGTTCACTAACACAAGCTGCACTCAATGTTATCTCTTCTGCAATGCGAGTAGCTCTCCCATGACAGGGCCGAGGTCTGGAGACGGACCCGGGTATCACTTACCCTCCAGCTTCATTCCATGCATTCCTGACGACGGACATAATGCTACTTCAGCTGCGAACGCCATTAAGCTCACGCGTTGGCATGCATCAATCCCACTACTGTGGGGCAATCTGGCCATCAAATGCGCGGAGGTGAGTGGCAAGCTTGCTGTTTTGACGAGACTTAGACAGCCGCAAATGCAACCGCCCGGCGTTCGCTTCCAACATGTGTCACGTAATGAGTCCATTCGGAAGTCTGGGTAAAAGGGGCATGGGCTATCGATGACTGATTTCGAAGTGGTGAAAGTGATTGCTTCTAGATACAGATCGTGGTGTAAATATAAAGAGTTTACAAAGAGGTTCTTAGCCCATCTCAAAAGGTATAACAGTTACATTGAGAAGAAAATAGTTGAGTCTAGCAACAGCAACGACTTCTACAAATATTTGAACACCAAAATTCGGGAAAGGAGGTGCTTCGGCTGTCTGAGGGCTGGTAGCTCTTTCGCGTACACTGAACACGACAAGGCTAACATGTTAGCAGAACAGTTCGCGAAAACCTTTACAAAGGACGATGACACGGTTTCGAGTTTACCCAATTCTGGTGTGGAGTCGTCTTGCTCAATGGGTGACGTTCCGTGGTTTCTTGCAGAGGAGCTCTATGAGCAAATTCTTAAGTGGCCCAACTCTTCTTCTGTTACTCCTGATTTTATTCCGCTATCTTTCATCAAAAAAGTAGCTTGTTTCATTTGTGGACCTCTCGCATACATTTTTAATCAGTCACTTATGAGGGGCGAGGTTCCTAGGAGGTGGAAGCATTCGTTCATAACACCTATTTTAAAAAAGGAGCCATCATCTGATCCCGGTAATTACCGACCCGTTAGCATCACCTCTTTGTTCTGTAGGCTTTTTGAAAGACGCCTCAAGGAGCATGTCATCAAATATGCTCTTGAATGCGACTTAATACCGGCGAATCAACATGGCTTCACCCCAGGACGCTCTGTTGAGACGAATATGATTGAATGTCTCCATGATTGGACAGATGCCGTCGATAACGACCGTTGTTGTGATGTTATCTACTTTGACTTCGCCAAGGCTTTTGACCGGGTGTCGCATGTAAGGCTAATCCATAAACTTAAAGAATTGAAGTTTCATCCTATTCTTATTAATTGGATCACCGATTTTCTCAGGGACAGGACTTTCCAAGTTAGAGTTGGGGAGTGCTACTCTGTTAACAAAGAAGCTTATAGTGGTGGGCGTGCCCCAAGGTGGTGTTCTGTCACCAGTGCTATTTAACATTTTCACTGCGGAGATTCCCAGTCTGGTTTCGGGACTTGGTGTCTCGGTGAAGATTGTACGCAGATGATGTTAAAATTTTACAGAGGAATAACGTGGGCAATCGATTGTGATAGAACTCAGAGAAGCTATGCATCTGGCTTGCTGGTAACTGCGGCGAGAATTTGGCGCAACTTCCTCTTGCCCCGCCCGCATAAAACATTGTGTATGAGGATTTCGTCTAGTTCGAAAGCTCTTCCTTTCCCATACACCATATACGGTGAAGTCGTTTCTCCCGTCAACTCTGTCAGAGATCTTGGCTTCCGATATTCCAATACCCTCAATTTTTCTGAACATATCAAAAATCGATGTAACTCTGCTTTTCTGAGGACGGTTCATGTTTTCAAGGGTCTGTCTTCCACAAACAAGTCAGTCCTCTTGAAAGCATATAAGACTTACGTTCGCCCTTTGGTTGAGAGTGGGGCCACGGTGTTCTTCCCCGCCACTAGACGAGATATTTGTGCTTTAGAGAAAGTGCAAAACAATTTTACCCGCAAAATTCTTTTCGAGAACTAGAGCTTTGTATTCCAGCGGATCCCAAAAAGCCTCCGTCTAAGAAACAAAGTACTTCGAATCTCCTCTCTTGCAACATCGTCGTAATGACTTGCGCGATGTTTGCCATCGGTCTACAAAGCTTGTAATGAGCTCTTAATAAGTATAAGCCTTTTAATTTGCTCTCAAATACAGGACTCCGAACAGGGGTTCGGGGCGAGCAAACATCCTCTTAGCTTAGCCCAGAAACTTTAGGATCAGAGCACAAGCTTCACATTTAGGGCCAGCATAGTACTATACAAAAAAGTTACAAAGAATATGGCCATTCCCAGTTCGCTTCGACAGTTCAAGAAGCTTGCAGCTAGTCAGCTACTTAGTCATGAAACATCCTAGTTAATTGAGATTGACTCTTGCTTATCATGTCTCCTGTTTCCGGTTTTGATTGATCACTTCTTATCGCCTTGTTGTCAGATTTTGAATTAGCCGCCTTGTGAGTTTCTTTTATCACTTCGTAATTTGATTTCACTGAGCGATTTTTTCCGGAATGCTGATGTATCGTTCACCTTGCTTTGGACTTTTTGTTAGTTTCTCTCTATTTAATTGGTTTTTAGTTTGCTTTCTCACGTTTGCCTTTTTGGCAGCGTAATAAACATA